ACGGAGGGAGGGGGTGGGAGGCAGGGACGAGGGGGCAGCGGTGAGAGCCAGGAGTAAGGAGGGCACCCTGGGGAGGGTTGCTGCCTGAGGTTCCCAGCGGGCTCACACATTGCCGTTAGCACGGTGGGTTAGCCCTGCCCCTCCCAGCCACGTCTGACCTCAGTGTGCGTAATCTTGTATAGACGCTGTGTTCAGAGCAGGTTTAGGCTGACAGAAAAATCGCACAGGCGGTACAGCGTTGTGCACACCCACCTCGTCCTGCAGTTTCCCGTTACGTCTTGCATTCCTGTGATGCGTGTTAGAATGAACTGATGATGGTACGATGTTACTAACTGAAGTCTGTAGTTGACATTAGAGTTCCTTCTTCGTGTTTTAACAAGTGCTTCATGTCACATGTTCACCATACAGTAGTCAACATATGTTGTTTTTTTCCTTGAAAACATGGTTGGGCCAGCATCTGATGCAAAAAACTAATCCGGCCGATACTGAGCTTGCCTCCTCACCCTTCTTTGCAGCTGCTTATTTTATAGACAGCATTTTTTATACAGTGACACCCGTGAGAGCCGCACCTCGATGGGACTGCCTTATTTCTCTGGATCTCGCGAGTTTTCCGCCTTTGACAGGGTGCAGTCTTACCACTTTCCTATAGCTCGTTTTAGTGGAAAATATTGTGTTTTCCTTCTCTGACAGGTTTCTGCCTCACACAGGCTCTGGCTTTAGCAGGTTTTACACATGTATGGACGTATGATATACATACGTATGACCCACCAGCCCAGGGTCTAAGGGACAGGAGGGCAGGGGGCATACCACGTTATTACGTAATAGACAGTTATGTTATATGTAGAACTCACATGCATATTCTGTGTAATAATACATGTATTTGTGTCCCTGAGTGGTTTGCACTCATTTGCTAACTTAAAGGTTGGTGGTTCTAACCCACCCAGCAGCCCCATGGAAGGAAGGCCTGACGATCTGATTGCCTAAAGATCACAGCCAGGAAAACCCTGTGGGGCAGTTCTACTCTGTAACACATGGGATCGCCATAAGTCAGGATTGACTTGACGGCAGCGGGTTTGGGTTTGGGTTTTATACATGCACACACGCGCACACACACACATGCCCGCACACACACATGCACACAAATGCCCGCGCACACATGCACATGCACGCACATGCCTGTGCACACACATGCACATACACGCCCACGCACACACGCGCACACACATGCCCGCGCAAACACATGCACGTGTACACATGCATGAGGACACACACATGCCTGCACACACGCACGCACGCGCACACACACACCCGCGCACACACACACACATGCCCACCTGCACACACACATGTCCGTGCACAGACAGATGCACACATGCTCACTATCACAATTTGTTACATCACACGGGGTTGGTGGTATCCATGTTTCCCTGTGG